TTAATCTTAGCATTCATTATTCTTTCACGCTGCCTGTATTGTTTGATGTTTCTTCTCATGCCATCTCTCTGTTTATGTTTCAATATCCCCTGGACATCATCGCATCCATAGGAGGAAAAATTTTCAGTAGCTAACTTTAAGGCAAAGATACTTTTGCAAGAGGAACGACAGCTGCCTCCAGCAGCAGGACCCCAGGTTTGATGAGTAGAAAAGTCTTCCTGCTCCCGGTGGCCCTGATCCTACCTTTGGCAAGAACATACATAGTACAGCAAAGCCAGCAGATGCAATGCTGTGTCCCTCTGGATGCACTACGTACCTATTGCAGACTTGAGGAGTTCCCAGTATCTGCTTCAAAAAGAATGCTCCACAGCTTCACAATTCTTTCAGGAAACTCATCTTTTGCCACTTAAATCTTCAGCTAGACCACACACAAGAATACCTTACAACCACAAGCAGCTTGTAGGCCTGGGGTAGTTTCAGGCTTCACACTGCTGTTACTGAAAATAAAAACTTAGCTCCTGTGCACTGCTGGCAAGTTCCCTTTGGCTCACGAGTTGAGCCTCCCACAATTTATCCAGCACAAGCCCTGCTGCAGGAATTGTTTCCTGGGTATAAGCCCACATCAGCCATCCTAGTCTTCTCTGAAAGGCTGAATATCATCCAAGCTTAGTGTGCAAGACCTGACCTTGACATGCGAGTTTAATCCCCAGAACAAATGAGAGATTCAGTGCTCACTGCTTGGCTGTCTCACCAAATGTTTCTCCTTCGCAAGAGCAGGATGTTTGATGATTACCATTTGGAAAAAGAATTATTATTTTTAACTACTAAAAGTGATCTTTAAGATTCCAGCATGCCTTGGTGAGACACATGTAAATATTTCCAGGTTTTCTGTCCTATGTGAGAGGGAGAAGATGAACATATTGATGAATGAAGCAGAATAGCACTTTTCCCTCAGTCACTGACACACCACACTGCAGTCAGGTGACTGGGAACTGAAAATAAAGATGCCAACCTAGAGCAAAAAGTATCTTCTTCTGAATTCAGCCACCCACCTTTGTGTATGGCCAGGCCATGCAGGGACAATGACTGAATGACCCAAAGATATTGTCTTTGACTTTTTATAAAGAAAATGGAATAAACTGAATGCACTGGATTATTTCAGTCAAAGCCATTGACATTCATATTTTCCTCAAAGCAATTTTATTACCTCTGCATACAGGTTTCATAATAACCAGCAGAGGAGAAGCGAAAGGCATCAGGAAAGTTCCAGCTCCAAAGAATTTGATTCATAGCTGATAGCCTGAAGGAAAACATAAGGGCTCTTTTTATCATTTATAAAGTAGGCTAATGGATGGAAGGAAAAAAAAAATATACAGACCTTAAAAGAAAAGAAAAAAATTAAGATAGAAAGGTACACTTAAGATTTCCAGCCACAAGCAGTCCAGTTATACTTTCAGTCTGCAATTATCTAAGACCTTATCTCATTTATATGGTAATAACTTGTCTCATGTCAACTCAACAAGCGGGATAGCAGCTACGCAGCGCCGGCTCCTCGAACGCCGTGGCTGAAGCCTCCCGGCGTGGGCGGAAGGACCCGGCCGGGCTCACAGCAACAATTAGACTTGCCAATGAGCCAGGGCTAGCAACACGGCAAGGAGCATAACAAATGCAAGGAGTTTCTTCTGGCTATGAATTTAACTTAACTCTTTGCAGTTTTGCACATACTTGGCATGAAAACATGTTTCAGAGAGATTTATTTGCCCGGGGAAGAGGAGACCTACCGCTGCAGTTTGGAAAGAAGTGTTCCTCAACAAGGAGCAGCAAAATTTCATGGCAAGAGCGAGGAATTATTCCAGCATGATTACTACAGCTGCAAAGCTGTATTTTCTCTAAAATCCTAATTAAATATAGATAAACTGAGAAGAGAGGCCAAAACAGATCTGGACATTAACGAGAGATAAAGGCTTCAGTCTTCTGCAATTTCAGACATAATTACTAAGGGATATCTTATCCTCTCACTGAAAAGTGCATTGATTCCAACCAACCCTCTGCCACTCAGATGTATTTAAAAAAAACAAACCACCAAACCAACCAAAACCAAAAAAACCCCAATTATTTAAAGTCAGCCAGTTAGCAAACATCAAGACAGAACAAGGATCTGGAACACAAGTACCCTATACAGGTAACAAACCTCACATCACATTCCTTATTGAAAGCTTAGCTACTCTAATGAGCTCTTTCTCAAAAAAAATTAACCGTGATTTTGCCACTTCATCTCTAAAAGCATCCCCTTCACCATACGTGCTTCTAGTGTGTGTTAAGAATGTGAAATTAAGGTTAGCAGTTCAGAAAAGCTCTGAAAGGGATCTAGAAGTTTTCCTGTAAGTACAGCTCTGCCCATCATCTCAGCAATAAAAAACCAAACACATCCGTTTCCACTCCAGCATAATCCTAATACTCCCAATGTCAGTCACATCACGGACTCATGGAAGTGCTAAATCATGGACTGCTGTACTGAGACAGAGAAAAGTCAGTGTCAGAGGATGGAAATACTTTTGTGAAGTGTTGGTAAAAAGATGCTAGCCATCAAAAGAAAAGTCAGCTTCAGACAATCTGAAGTAGCCTTGGGAGAAAGTGCGAAGGGCAGACAAGATAAACAAGAGCCTGTTTTGCCTTAGTTGATACAAGCAGAGCTGAGTTTATAGGCACAGGTCAGGAGGTTCAGCTTTTAAGCCTGAGCACAAAGAATTCGGTATCCTGCCAGCTCAGGAGCCAGGATTTTTGATAGTGAGCAGCTGCAATCTATGCCATCTTGGGAAAAAAAAAAATCTAAAAAAGAAAAAGCAGGCATAAAACATCTTATCATTTGAGAACAACAGCATCAATAATGAATTTTCACTACTAACGATTACTGATTTTTCCCAGAAAGCTTAATAAATATTTCATTGTATTTCATTCTGAGAAGTAATCCAAAAGAAGACCCTGAAAATCTTGAGGAAAGGAGAAGGAACTATTTAAAGTGTAAGTTTTTGAAATGCTAATAGCTATGAGGAAGGATTAGTGCAGTTTAGCTTCGATTGCATCAGGACTGGAATAGCTACAAGAGAGATTTAATGAGCAAGACATCCAGTGTAGTGCAATTAAGTGCTTCTCAAGCATAATAGGGTAACATTCCAAAAACACTGCAACCACCACACCATAGCCTTCAGCAGAAAGCGCAGTCCCTCAGTAGCGTTCCTCCCACCCCCACCGTGTGTTAATTAGAACTCAAGATACCACACCATGTTCATGTAAGAGAACCTTGTACCATGAAAAACATCTCACTTCTGATTCCTTGGGCACAAAACAGGAGGCCACACACTCAGGGCAGAACAAAAAGCTGAGAAACACACCTTAAAGTCTGGAAAGTTAAAAAAGTGAGGGTAGATCTCATTTGAAGTTGTAATGAAAAGCTCAGTCTCTAAAGGCTTTAAGTGAATACATGAGCACACACTACTAAACATTTTAAATATGTATTCAAAGTTCTGTTAGATTCTAGTGCTCCTCTGATGATTAAATCTGATTCTCCTCTTCAGTAAATAATTCAGTAGCAAAGAATTACTTGGCCTGGAAAAGAGCTGAACAATAGGCCAAGACTTGTTTCTGAGAGATTTTGGCCTCAATTTTGACTTTGTGAGGAGAGGTTTCTGCATAAGAGGAAGTGCTGCAAAAAAGTTGAAGTCTTTGTATTCACAACTGCAATTTAGAATCAGCATTTTCTCACCTTTATTCTGTTAGTAGAAGAAGAAACCGCTGATGAGATGAAAAAAGAACCCAGCAACATAATTTATATCAGCTACTGCCACAGGAGAAAAATTTTATTATTCAAGGACAGAGTAGTGTTTTGTTCTAGTTGTGGTCAGGGAGGTTGATCCTCTAATACAGCATGCTGGTGTTAGGCACTTGGGAGGGCAGATATCTAGGCACCTTGTCTAGAGTAGACTCCAGAAAGCAAACTACTACACTGTGTTTGGGGGTGCGTTTTGTTTATTTAATGTTAGCACAAAGATGCATCTCTCAAAGCACCAAAGAGCAATCTGATTAGGAGTGAGACTAACACTAACAAAGTACTCATGAAAATACAGGCAACTCAAGTTTCCTCCCCACTAGAAATGAACATGTTTAGGTCAGAGACTGTAAATCAGTGTAAAAACTTTCCTAGGTAAATTCCATTAACTCCGATGTGTCAGAATATGGTTTGTCCTAACATACCACTGGGCCTGACCCAAACGCCACAGGAACCTTCTTTTGGATCAGACCTTTGTAAGGCACACAGTGGACAAACGCACATATACACAAAAGATATTGGTTCTTTCTATTAAAAAAATGCAGGAACTTGAGTCACACATGTTTTCAATATTGCTTTTGTCAGGCGATTATATAGTTCAAGAAGAGACACCACTGAGTCTGAAACAACAATTCACAAAATAAAAATCTCTTCGAGTGCACCTGAGCCTCCCTTTCCAAGCAGCAAAATGCCAACCCAACCAGCTTCTCCAAAAAACAGAGCTATTCACCGGCATTTACAATCTCTTAGCACACGATACTGTAAAACACACAAGCCTCCCTGAGAGACACACAGAGCAAAAGAGAATTGCTCTAACAGAAATGGGATACACAGAGGTACGTTAAAAGAGAGGTAACCTTTACCAAATAGTTTAGAACTACACTTTAAACCTTCACAAAAAAGAGGGAAACTTTAGGTACCTCTAAAGTTGGGAGGAAACCAGAGACAAAATACCCCAGAGCCTCATCTCATTCACATTGCATTTTCTGCAAGTTTAAGTGTGCTTAGGGGTCCTGATTGTTCCTAGCCAACTTTAAGAAAAGAAAATAAAATTCTAGATAGCATTTTCCACAAATAATTCTTAAAAAAACACCAAACAGATTTAACTTTGTATTATTTCACAGTGAATTTACCTTCTAGATCAGGAGAGAAAAAGTACACATATATAACTGACCTGCTTCATTTAGAGCTTTCTCCATGAGCGCTTTATTTAGCTGCACAGACAGATCTTCATTGACGATACTTTTTGACTGCGACCTCAGCACTAGAAACAAGGAGCAACGCAACAAAATGCTTCAATCTGGAGGAATAATACAGGTCCCTATGGAGTATCTTCTGATGAAGCAATTTAGCACAAGGGAAGACTGCATGAAGTTACTCACAGCTGCTGTATTCAGTAAATAGAAGCCATCATAGGTTAAATTCCAGGTATATCTAAACCCCCATTTGGTGACTTTTGTCCCTAACATCTTCGCTTTATCCCAGCTCCACATCACATTAAGAGTGAGGTGGACCATACCTCTCTCCCAGGAACTAGAGAAAATCTTGTTTGCTCCAGACCAGAACTACTCCATGCTGCCCCATTAACTGCAATTAAAAGCATCACCTGTGGATTCCCCAACAGCAGAGCACCATCGCTCAACGAGGTAACTCAGTACAGCTGCCTTGTGCCCTGCAGAAGGACAGCACTTTACATCAGACAGAACTCCATCCCAGCTCCTCTTCGGCAGCAGCAACCTCCTTTCAAATGCTTGCCTTTGTGGCACAAATGCAGGCTCCTGCTGGCACCAGGTTGGGCTGGTTTTGCCTCCACCAGGTGCTCTTCTGTCAGTCAGCAACTGGAGATCCAGGGGAGAGTAACACAATCAGGGTGCCCCACGCTCAACCCACAAAGTGGTCTCAAGCATTTCCTGGGTTAACATGGGTATTTCATATTAAACACAGTTATACAGAAACTTCTTTTTTTTTTTGGCATTGCCATAGTGTCTTATTTTGTATTTTGACCCCACCTGGAGTACTGTGTCCAGCTTTGGAGTCCTCAGCACGACAAGGACGTAGAGACTTTGGAGAGGGTCCAGAGGAGGGCCACAAAAATTACGAAAGGCATGGAGCACCTCTCCTATGAAGACAGGCTGAGGGAGTTGGGGCTGTTTAGTCTGGAGAAGAGAAGGCTCTAGAGAGACCTTATTGTGGCCTTCAAGTATCTGAAGGGTGCCTACAGGAAAGCTGGAGAGGGACTTTTACAAGGACATGTAGTGATAGGACACAGGGTAATGACTTCAAACTGGAAGAGGGCAGATTTAGATTAGATATCAGGATGAAATTTTCACTCTGAGGCTGGTGAGACACTGGAACAGGTTGCCCAGGGAAGTTGTGTTTGGATGTGGATGTGGACCAGGCTGGATGGTGCTTTGAGAAACCTGGTCTAGTGGAAGGTGTCCCTGCCCATAGTAGGGGGGTTGGCTGATCTTTAAGGTCCCTTTCCACTTAAACATTCTATGATTCTATGATTTTACTCCTACAGGCTATTCCCAAGAGATGCTGACCTTTCAGCTGGGCCTTTCTTGGGTTTGGGGTGTGGAGGACACAATGACAGACATGGTTTTGGGGTACCAGAGGTACACGTCTCTTTGTCCGATGTATTTTTTATGAATGAACAGGCTCAGAAAGATTCCTGTCATTTTGAGGGGACAACATTTCTGCAAAATTTCTTGCTGGAACTTCCTACACAGAACACTAGAGAAATAAATCCCATCTGGATACTGCACACAAGAACTCACATGGAAGCACAGGCACGGAGGGGCTTAGGGAGATGATCAGAAGAGCATTTTTTCATGACAGGAGGCTAGAAAACTTGCCTTGCACAGTAAAACACAGACTGAAAGAGGAGAGAATTGCAGTATGTAAGGTATCCAAGTACCAGGAGAGGAAAAGAATTATTTAATTTAATAGAGATATTGACATAAAGATACTGGATGCTAATTTACCACAAGCACATCCATCCTGGAAAGTAGAAGAAAGATTACAGTTATTAAGAGGATGAAGCTCAGGAACTCTCTTCCCAAAAGTCATCTTTTACAAAGAGGCAAATGAGGCACAAAAAATTAAGCCCTCTATTCAAGATCATATATAAAGTTTGTGTCAGAGATGGGAATTAGATACTGGAGACTTAAATGCCAGGCCAGGTCCCTTAAAACAAAATCAATATTCTTATCAGTAAGGGTCAAATGTGTTGAAAATATGGTTTGCTGAGCCAAATTTTTCAATCCAATATAGGTGAAGTGAGAAAAGGAAACTAATACGAGAAAACAGATTAGATCTTTATAATATTAATAAACTGCTAATAAATAATAAATAAATTGTTAGTGGTGAGTCAGTACTACTAATCTTTGGAGTGATTAAAAAAACATTTTCATTTAAAGAAAAGATTTGCATTTCTGACACAAAGCATCACCTCGGCAGACTGCAGAATTAATCAAGATGCTTATGGGTAGTCTTTTCCTTCTTTTGCATGGCAGAGAAAATAATTTATTGATACCTCAGTGTAATTTGTTTGTCTGAGTTGTTTTTTTTTTTCTTTTCCTTTTAAACATTATTGTTGGAATTATCAATACAGCCATGTCCTCAGGGAATAACATCCATGCTTGTAAAGTAGTTCACTTATAAACAAACAAGCTTATACACTTCTCTTTCTTCTGAACTCCTTTTGATTTGGGATTATCACCTGACTGTAATTTACATTTTTCCCCTCACACAGTGCTTGTCAAAGTGTCGACCTGGCTTTTTCTTTCTCAGTGTCAGAAGAAATCAATGAGGGTTTGCATTTGGGGATTCCCAAGGGTGTTTCCCTTATTATCAATTTAATTGCCATGCCTTTTTTATCTCAAGTCCTTTACATGACTTGCTTCACCAGATTTCTCTACATCCTAACTCCAGCACCAAAATCTGCGGAACTCCTGGAGAGATTCCAGCAGAGGACTGTGAAAATGATCAAGGTACTGGAGCATCTCTCTTATGAGGGAAGGCTGAGAGACCTGGGTCGGTTTAGCCTAGAGAAGAAAAGACTGAGACGGGATCTTACAAATTCTTATAAGTATCTAAAGGGCAGGTGTCAAGAGAATGTCAAGACTACTTTCAGTGGTGCCCCGTGGCAGGACAAGGGGCAACAGGCACAAACTGGAACACAGGAAATTCCATCCAAACTTGAGGAAAAACTTCTTTACTATGAGGATGCCAGAGCTCTGGAACAGACTGCCCAGAGAGGATGTGGAGTCCCCTTCTCTGGAGATATTCAAAACCCACATGGATGAGTTCCTGTCCAACCTGTCCTAGGTGAACCTACTTTGGCAGGGGGTTGGACTAGATGATCTTCAAAGGTCTCTTCCAACCCCTACCATTCTGTGGTTCTGTGATTTGTCATGTCTCAGTTAATCCTCAGATGCTCGCTTTATGCAAAGAGAGAAATGCATTTGCAGTTCAGGAGCAAAGATTTTTAAAAGTCATGTGGTTCTGGTTCCTCAGGTCTCTGTTGCCTCTCCCTGCCCCTGGAACAGGGACCGTGTTCCAGCCATAAACATGTTGTCACCATCACCAGGAGGGAGATGGTGACACAGGGTCATGCACTCTCCCCAGTGCTCCCTCATGCTCACAAGGTTGTACATCACCTGTCTTGGGGACCTGGATTCCCAAACAGTATTAAAAATGCAGCCCCAACCTTCTTTTCCCCTCGGCCTTACACGAGGCAGAATCTTTCACATTTTCGGGTAGTCCTAACTTTGTAAAATGTCACCGTTCTTCTTAGCTTCTGAATCACAGGTCAGTCAGGAAGTCACCTTCGGAAGAGCAAGTGACTCTGCCCTCTCATCCTGACCTCCCAAAACAAGAACCAGAGGGTGCACTTGCTTCATCCAGTGATCAACAGTATTTGAAAGAGAAGTGAGAGGATGTGCAGGCAGCTCTTCTAGGAAAAGCTGGTCCTCGGTTGGCACAACTGCATTATTTACATTCCTAGCTCCCCTGCAGCCATTTCTGTCCTCTGACAACGTTTCCAGCCTCCCATGAGAGTTTGGTCTGAATGATGCCATCTTACCCCTTTTTCTTCGTTTTTTCATACAAAACCAAGACCCTTGATTTTCCCTTTTTCCAGCAAAATTGAAAGACCAGCTTATTACATTCAGTCACTGGGATTGGAATGGCAATTCCTCAATATAACTCAGTTTTAACACTGGTTGTGCAAGGGTGCAGAGGTGACAGTTATTCCTTTCTTCAGACAGTTGCAGAGTTGGCGATTTCCCCCGTCTCCCTGGAAACATGTTTACAACTTCTCTCTCTCCCTGCTTGTCTATCAAAATGCTGCCGTTGACACCCAAATGCCTTGCCTCGGCACCTCGTGAACTCCAGTGAGTTAATAACCATGGCAGCTTTGCAGAGAAAACCACTTGAGTAGAAATATATCAGTAAAACTTAAATGCTCAGGCTGTCAAGAGGTGTTTAAGGGGCCTGAGCCATGGGAAGATATCAGTGGGACTTTCACATCACCCACCCACACCACTCTAAGCCTATATAGTTTGCATATGTTTCTGCCTAAATATCTTTAGAAAGCTGGAGCGGGAAGGATTTAAGTATATCTTGTGTTAAGTTCTTAGGTGATCTGGGGCATTTCTTGGACTTTTGAAGTTAACACATGGAACTGCCAGAGCATCCTTGCCTGCTGTACAGCTTTGTCCCAGCACAGGGCACAATTTCCCAGGAATTACTTAGGGCTTCCAGTGCAGGAGCTGCCAGTATCTTCCAGAAAGGCAAACCACACTGGGAGACAGAGGACTCGTGTATGTACATGGTGACAGGAGGGACAACAGGAGCAGCTTGCCCTAGGCATCGAGGCGAGGTGAGAGGGCCACATTTTCTGCAGGTCCCTGGGCCCTGCAAGCTGTGAAGGCACCAGCATGTTGTTCTCATGAGTGCCTTGTGGAAGCGTGGAGGCGAATTTCGCCTGCAAAACCTGGCATCCCATCGGTGCAGTACCACCGAGGCAGAGCTCCGTGCTTGGCTTGAGCTGAGAATTAAATGCCACGCTGGGAGCTGCCACCAGGCATGCCGAGCTGTCGCTCTTCAAAGGGCTTGGGTTGTGTAAGCGGACCAGGGGAATCGCTAAACTGCAGACAATGAAAACAACTTTAAATGAGACACTAAATGAAAAGAAAAAAGTTGTCAAAATGTCAAGGTTAATGTTTTCATAAAACTAACCAGGGAATGGCTAGACAG